GGAGACCAGCAGCCAGTTGACTGGTATCTCTGCACGGGCCCGTGAAATTAACTTCTGTGCCACGTTACAATGACTTTTATTTTCCTTGTAATACAAAGTAAAAATGTTGAAATACAATTCCATTTTAAACTTTATTTATGTCTTCTATGTTCACACGAAGTATTTTTTTATTGACATTATAATTTGAGTAATTACTAATCAACACGAAACGACGACGCCTCACTGGTAAACAAGATTCAAGACATATTCCTTTTATTATATGAAATATTTTCCAAAGTAATATGTTGTGGTCTAATATAAAATTTTCTATGTAATGTTTATGTATGATTTTAGTGAATTATTATTTGCATTCGAAGAATTTTGTTACCAAACTTACCAATAAATAATCGTTTCACAAATAATTATTTTTAGTAAAATAATATTTTGACTGGAATAAGTATTATAAATCAATTTTTTACTCGAATAAAAATTTAAAATAATGATTTATTTGTCTGGTGAAGGAATTAAAAACTGAATACAAGGATTTTTAGTTACTAGAATAACGAGTTATTAAAGGTGACACGTATTTATTCGTTATAATTACATTTAGGCCAGTCAACAAAGAAAAAATGGCGGAAAAAATTCCCAACCAAATTTTTATTTTTTAAAAAGTTGAATTAAGATATGTATAATGACATACTAAAAGTCCTCATCGATTGGACTTGAGCTTTTTTTTTTACAGCCTCGCAAAAGTTCAAAAATATGAGCTTTTTTAATTTTCTCAAAAAATATTTAACTTACAAAAAAAAGTTACGTATAAAAGTTCTTTAAAAAACAATTTTAAACAAAAAAGGTATCTTGTATTTTTTCATTCAAACAAATATTTTTCGAGTTACATTACATTTAATATGAGTACTAAAATTTATTTTCCAATTTTTTTCATTTTACGGTTACTTTTTATCATGTTATACTTACATTAGACAAAATGTTATAAATGCATATGTGTGTATGTGTAAGTTTATTTATTTATAGTATCATTAAAGTGTAGTGTATAATAAGATACAACCGATAAAGTAAGTAATTGATTTGACGCTATATTGTTTAAACCCAACTAAACGCTAAATTGTACATTCCTAAACAACATTTATATTATGTCAATTGCCACCAGAATTTTTGCTAATCTTTTTCTTTTTATTTGCCTTAATCCCAACTACTTGGGGTCGGCCACCCTCATCCTAAACTTCCACTTGACACGATCTCTCACATCTTCTTCGCTCACATCCACTGTCCTCAAATTGCATTCAATAGCATCCCTCCATCTCTTTTTTGGTCTTCCTCTACCTCTTCTTCCTTCAACATTAATTTCTATAACTGTTCTTACAGCTTCCGATTCTTCTCTCCTCATAACATAA